TCAAAGTCTCCAACAATGAGGCCGAGTATGAGGCCCTCCTATGTGGCCTCCGGCTGGCTGCCAACATGAGGGCTCGGCAGATCCACATCAAATGCGACTCCAAGTTGGTCGTTGGCCAAATCTCCGAAGAATATGAGGCCAAGGAGGGAAGAATGAAACAGTACAAGGAAGCGGCCAAGGAGTTGCTTAAGGTATTTGAGGCACACTCTCTTACTCAAATACCGAGGGCTCAGAACTCCGAGGCCGACATATTGTCTAAGCTCTCGGCTGACTCCCCCGAGCACATCTCCAAAATTGCCAAAATCGAGGAACTCAGCCTCTCAAGCATCCATGCGAGCCCCGTTATGAACATACAACAACGACAGGAGGATTGGATCTCAGATATCACCGCCTTCATCTCCACAGGGCAGCTACCCGAGGATGAGGCCCGCGCTAAACTGGCAAAACTGAGGGCTCCCAGCTACGCCATCGAAGATGGGAGGCTCTACAAACGATCTTACAATGGCACGCTACTTCGGTGCCTTCATCCAGATGAAGCCGAGGTCGCAATGGAGGAAGTGCACAGTGGCACTTGCTCAGCTCACCAGGGACCCTTCTCCATGTCCCGAAGGCTCATTCTCCAGGGCTACTTCTGGCCAACCATGGCCAGGGACTGTGCTGACCTTGCCCGGAGGTGCACAGCATGCCAACATTTCCAGAAAGCTCCCGACAGACCAGCGGTCAACTATGCCCCCATCAGCACCTCTGTCCCGTTTTCCCGATGGGGGATAGACCTTGTGGGCCCTCTGCCGAGGGGTACCTCCAACAACAGATACATCATTGTGGCCGTCGACTATTTTACCAAGTGGGTGGAGGCTGAACCCCTCGCCAGCATCACAGAGGCGAAGTGCCGTCACTTCGTCCTCAAGAACATCCTCACAAGGTTTGGCGTCCCCCAGCAGATCATCTCCGACAATGGGACACAATTTGAGGCAGCCCCCTTCTGTGCCCTTCTGGAGGCATGGGGCATCAAACACACCTTCTCCTCCGTTGCCTACCCTCAAGGCAACGGGCAAGTAGAGAATGCCAACCGGACCTTGCTCGAGGGCCTCAAAAAGAAGCTGGAGGCCGAGGGCGGTGGCTGGGTAGAAGAACTTCACAACATCCTGTGGGCCTACCGCACTACCCCTCGGCGCGCTACAGGTGAAACACCCTTCTCCCTCTGCTACGGTTTTGAAGCCAAAGCTCCTACGGAAGTCACCCTTCCTACCCGAAGGGTGATCCAATACGACCCCGAGGTCAACGACAGCAACATGGCCCTCGACCTCCACCTCATTTCAGAACGCCGGGAGCAGGCCTTCATCCGGGCAGAAAACTACCGGAGGCAAGTTAAATGCTACATCGACGCCAAAGTTCGCACCCGAGAATTTCAAGTGGGGGACTATGTCCTCCGGAAAAGGGAAGCCAGCCAACCAACCGAGGGAGGAAAAATGGCACCAAAATTCGAAGGCCCCTACATCATAGCAGCCATCATAAAACCCGGGACCTACAAACTCAAACGCCCCAATGGGAAAGAAGTCCCTAGGCACTGGAATGTACACCATTTAGTTAAATTTTATCAATAATGTAAGAGCGGCCAGGCCCTCATAACTAGTGAATGTACTATCCTATGGCCCAAGGCCTCCAATTTCGAAGAATGAAGATACATTCAAGACATCAAGCCTTCATACTGACTACAAGCCCCAGGCCTCACCACGAGAAGAACCCCCTCCGGCACCAAGTGCCGAGGGAGGACACCATCAACGCCTAAAACAAACAGTGAAAACACCAAGTGTTCCTACAGAAGACCCCTCGGTACCCAGTGCCGAGGGTACATCCCCAACTTCAACATCAAAAAAGGAAAGATGAGAACACCAAGTGTTCCTACAGGAGACCCTTCGGCACCCAGTGCCGAGGGTACACCTCCATCATCAAACATCAAAACGAAGAAAAACACCAGATGATTCAAAGAAGACCCTTCGGCACCCAGTGCCAGGGATATACTCTCCTCTCAACTTCCAAACATCTATTGGGAAACACCAAGTGTTTCATTTGAAGACCCTTCGGTACCAAGTACCGAGGGTAGACGCCTACATCAACTACAACAAAAGAGAACACCAAGTGTTCCTACAGAAGACCCCTCGGTACCAAGTACCGGGGGCTACACATCGAAACTAACACCAAGTGTTGTTTCTAAAAGTTGTACCCCACGAGGAAGCATATACCGAAGGCGCCACCATCGGTGCCGGCGGCACGTGGTGCCCTCGGCCATTTGCAACTAGTGTGCAAATGAAAACCCTTCCTTGAAACGCTTTCCGTGTCACTACCCCCAGGGTATGACAGGTATGAGAAATGCCCAGGATTCGACTTTCAAAAACGGAACGCTATCCGCGTCACTACCCCCAGGGTATGACAGGCATGAGAAATGCCCAGGATTCGACTTCCAAACCGAAACGCTCCCCGCGCCACCACTCCAAGGGTGTGGCAGGCCACAGACTATGTCTAGCGCCAAGGGGACGACTTTCAAAAATGAGGCGCTTTCCGCGCCATCCCCCAAGGGGAGGCAGGTTACGGACCACCATATCTTGTGCCCAGGAAACGTCCCTCGATCCCCTCGGCACTCGGAAGGTTAACCCGAGGGAGGAGAGCCATTGGTGTATTCTGATGGTCTCCTAATAGGCCCAGCCTTACCAAGAAACCAAGTTTCTTGATGCCTTCCCTTCACCACCAACCAAAAAAAAAAAAAAAAAAAAAAGGGGTGAAGGGGAGTAGACTCAGCGAGAAATCAAAGAGTACACTCCAACAAAATCACAACATGCCGAGGGCTCCCCACGGGAACACCTCCGGCAATTGAAGACTCCTATTTCCCGAAGGATACTACTCAAGGAAATATCATCAGGAAACGGCTAAGTCCACTACCTGGTCACCTCCGGTCACAAAGACACCGAAGGCTTCAACAATACAAAGGGACTGGACTACCCAAGGTCCACTAAACGGTACTTCAAACAAACACCGAAGGCATCTGTTATGCACAAATACCGAAGGCTCTTTCCCCATGACAAGGGTCAAATTCTACAACTTTTAAAGTGTATGCCGAGGGCACACACTCCTCATCGGCTTTCTTCACAACAACAGGATTCAACATCAATTTATGCTTAGAAAAATTCTAAGTCCTGAAGGAGCAGCCCCCGGGCACCCGAAGGCTACACAGGGAAGCAGCACTTGAAAAAATTCTAAGTCCTAAAGATTGGGCCCCCGGCCCAATCAATATTACAGCCAAGGGAATATGGTGGCCGAAGGCCATGCAATACAACAACACTTAAAAAAAGGGGGGTATTCCGTCCTAAACGAGTAGCCCCCAGGCATCTTGCAAAGTGATGTGGAATCAGAGGGCACCTATCACCCGAAGGCCCCCAAGGAAAAATTCACACTTAGAATATTTTCTAAGTCCTACATGCTTTCCCCCCGGTCAACTACTCTTACATCAAGGAGGAATGCCATCTACCGAAGGCTCCCAAGGGGGATTTTACACTTAGAATATTTTCTAAGTCCTACATGTTTTCCCCGGTCAACTACTCATACATCAAGAAGGGATGCCATCTCCCGAAGGCTCCCAAGGGAGACTTTACACTTTGAATATTTTCTAAGTCCTACATGTTTTCCCCCCGGTCAGCTACTCATACATCATGGAGGTAGGCCACCTCCCGAAGGCTCTCGAGGGAAACTCTACACTTAGAAGATTTTCTAAGTCCTACATATTTCACCCTCATCTCAAGGGACCTAATTGCCGAAGGCTACCTATCAATCGAGGGCTACAGTTCACAAGGAATCAACACTCAAGAAAATCTTCTAAGTCCTAAAAGAATTAGCCCCCGGCCTATTCCATATTACAGATGGGGCTCCACAGTAGCCGAAGGCTAAATGGCATACTACACTTGCAAAAAAATCTCTAAGTCCTGTGCATTGGGCCCTCGGTCCAACATTCACACATCAGGAATGGGCGCCATATCCCGAAGGCTCTCAAGGGGGAATCTACACTTAGATATTTTTCTAAGTCCTAGGATGTGGGTTACTACAAACGCCCGAAGGCCTCATGCTGTGCTACACTTAGAAATTTTTTTTCTAAGTCCTAATTGCTGCCGAACCATCGTTTGCATGTCCAGCAGAGGGTGCCCAACTACCGAAGGCTCCTAAGGGCTAGCTACAATCAGATAGTATTCTAAGTCCTAGACATACATTCAAAAATATCGAAGGCATACATTCAAAGGAGAAGGCATACATTCAAAACATAAGGCGCATTCGAAGATGAAAAGCCCGGAGGCAGCATGCATTTCATCAAAGACAAGAGTAAGTGTGAAATTACAAGCAGGCCGAAGCCGAGGGATGAATAATGTCATCACTACAAATATATGTTTACATGATAAAAAGTACATATCAAATCATGTTACTCCCGGGGGCCGCCTCCCCCGATGGCTTCGAGGTCACTTCTGCGTCGGCCTCAGGTTCGTCGCCCTCGGCTTCCTTCATGAGATCAGAGTCCTCTAGGTCTGGCCTCTCGACATCGGGGGGAAGAGGAACGCGGATGTCTGGCTGCAGGGGGGAGCCCGTATGCTGCCGGGTCAAAGTCTTTTGGCTCGATCTTCAAGTGGCGAGCCATCCTCCGATAGATGAGGGCTTGAGTGAAAAACTCGCCCCCATCGTAGTATTGTTTACCCTTTCGGGAAACCCACTCCACGCCAGGCCCATCACACCACTCGTCGACCGAGGACTCGACGACCGAGGACAGCCATTGCTTGTGCTCCTCGGACCGCCATCCCCCTGCCAAGAACCCCGAGATTGCGTCCTCCCGGGCTCTCTCGACGGCTTCAACCTTCGCGGCCTCGGCTTCCTTGGCAGCTTTCTCCAAGGCCTCAGCTGCGGACCTCTCGGCTTCTGCCCTACCCCGATCCGCGGCCTCCGCCCGTAGGGTCATCTGCCGAAGGCTCTCCTCCAGCATGGCCATCTGCCGAACAGCGTCTGCATTCTGGCGGATGAGCTCCCGCATCTTGGCCTCCTGCTCGGCCTTGCGAAGGCGCCACTCCTCTAGCCGCCGGGCTTGCTCCCCGAGGGCAATGCAGGTCTACAAAAACAAAGGGGTTAGCAAGGCCAAATATGGTTTCTTAGCTCCAAGTAAAAAGGAAAGAAATAGGCGTAAAAGACTTACTGTGAGGGAGGACCGGAGGATCCTGTCCTCGAGGGCTTCGTCTTCATCAGCCCCGAGGGCAACCCTGTCAATCTCGAGGGTAATGCCTCTCAGAAGCGCCCTCGGGTCGGCCGTACCGTTCATCACGGCCGTACCAGCCGGGAGGGAAACCATGAGGACCTCGGAAGATGGCCCCTGAACTCCCGGCGGCACCTTCGCCACCTGCATGTCCTCATCTGCCCCGGGGGCAGGGCCTTCATCAACAATGATCACCGGGGGGATTTCTTCCCGGCATCCCCGGTCTTGGGCTTCTTGCCCTCGGGATCTCTACCCGAGCCCTTCCTTTTGGCGGCAGCAGCAGCATCAGTGCTTGGGCCCACCGACGGCCCCTCCGGTTTTTTGAAGAAGTCACCGGCGGGTTTTGGGACACCGGCGTCCGTCCCCCTCGGGCCCTTTGAGGGTTTCTTCTTCAAGTCTGCAAGGCCTCTAACATTCATCATTTTCACTGGGACACCTGCGAAAAACAAAGGAATGGGGTTAGAATCGTGGGGTCGCTGACCGAGGGCACAAAGAACAAAATGAAAAAAAAAAACACGAACAGGATAAGCTATGTGCTAAGGGACCTCGTAGACTACCTCCTGTTCCCTCGAAGGCCTCAGCAAAAACGGGGTACTTCTCATCCGCTTCACCAATAAATCGGTATCTCCGAAAGCCGAGGGCGTAGAATCCCTTGTCGACAGTATAGTCTTTGATGGAGACCTGCTTGGTGCGACCCTCCGGGATTTTCGCTATCACCAGGCCGTCTTTTTCGAGGGCGGCGCTTCCAACCTTCGGATGCCGACGGAAGCGATCCCGAAGTTCCACCGGGAATGGGTTCTCAGCAACCCTGACATAGCACCAGCGCTCCTTCCAGCCCTTGTTTGACGAAGGCGCCTCCGTAAACAGCTTCCACTTGGCCACCTGTTGCAGGTTGGCGAAGCCCTCGGCATTCGCGTGACCCCCTCGACAGAGGTTGAAGCTCTGGAAGAACAAGTCCAGGCTGGGGGTCACCCCTCGGTCCCTACAGAGGTTTAAAAAGCCCGCCACGTAGGAATGGCTATTAGGTGTCAGCTGGCAGGGCACCAAGCCAACGAACCTCAGGTACTCCCAGAGGATGGGGTGCAGCGGGAACCGAAGGCCCATGGAGACCGACAGCACGTGTACTGCAATGCACCCTTCAGGCGCCCGAGAGAGCACATCGTCAACTCCCGGCTCGATCACCTCGGCCGAGGGCCCTACATGTAGCTGCGTCACGTAGAGGTCCGCCCTGTCCGCCTTCGACCTTATCTCCAAGGCAGCCGTGTTGAGCCAGGAATACCCCTCCGGCATATCTACGGGTTTCCCCTGATCAGCAGCTATTACCTTCTTCTTAGGGACAGCCGCCTTGGCCTTCTTCTTCCCGGGGGCCACCCGGATGGGAACCGCGTTCAGCGGCTGGGAAGTACTGGCCTCACCAGCACCCCGAGGGGGAAGGACGGCCACAGTGACCTTCGCCCTCTCCTTCTCCTCCTCCTGTTCAGCAACTTGGACGGCGAGGGCCAACTCTTCATCCTCGGCAGTTCGCTCGAATTCCTCCGCCTCGGCCTCAGCCGTCAGATCCTTCTGCACCTCAGTGGCGAGGGCTGCATCACCACAATCCGAGGGCTGACCACTGCTTGACTCCACATCGGAGATGCCTTCGTCCTCCATCGAGGGCGTCCTCGAGATGTCCTGAGAGTCACTCTGGGACGACATTCGCACCCTAGTTCGAGGGTTCGTAGACGGTAGTGTTTCCTAACTTTTCTATCTCCTAAACTAAGGGCACAGTACAGCTATGCTAGAAGGAGAAAGGCAGGGAGCACTGACCTCGAAAGCTGAGTTAGGACCGAAGGCTGCTGTTTCTCTCTCTAAAAAAATTGGCAGAGCTTCGCACACGGAGGAATGCCTGGCCTTGGGGTATTTATAGGCGATAGAATCCGGGCTTGGGCCTGGATTCCGGGCCTCCGGATGGACGCCATCATTACGCACCGTCGTTTCACCCAACCGGTGACGCCGCCCACGAACAGCCAGCCATCACACGCCACGTGTGCCATCCCCCCAACGGCTATATCCTGTCGTTACGTATTCCAACGGCTATATTTCCAACGGCTATATTCTGGAAACCCCCGGGTTCTCTACTTCACTCCACTTCATCAAGGATTGCCTCCGGGTGCACTCACCCAGAAGTGCCCCCGGGTTGTGCCCCACACAGCACATTACACACGCCTTCGGGATCACTCCTTCAAATCCCCAGGGCTGCATATCAGGGGCACCCCTCGGGGTTTCTCCCTCAGCACTGCAAAACCGGGTAGCCCCCGGGGAGTGCCTCATTGACGGAGGGCCCATGGCACACAGGTAATGAGAGCCCTCGGGTATCTTCATCACCAACTCATCAACAAACAGTGGACCCCCCGGTAACAACTTCACTGCTGCCCTCATCTGGCAGGCCCTCGATCCCTGGATTGAGGGGCTCCCCTTCGGCACCACCAGGACATCAACAGCAAGCCTTCGGCAAATCAACACAGGAGCCCTCAGAAGAGAGAGCCTTCGGCATTCCCGTCATTTTCCATTTTTCACCGAGGTTTGACATTTTCGATTCATCATTGGGGGAATTCGGTGCACTCTTTTTCCCTCATTAGGATTTTTTCCCAAAGGGTTTTTCCTAATGAGGTTTTTAACGAGGCATCCCCCCAAAATGAAACGAAAAGCGTCAGGCTTCGGCCCACAACAGCAACGTAACTGCTTTACTCCTTTTCACCACTTTACAAGTGCCTCAAGGAGTGGGGGACTGGAGGACCCCTTCGGGAAAATCATTAAATTACAACAAAGCAAGCCCTCAAGTCCCGACATGTGGGTAACTGAGGGATTGCCTTCGGCAGGGACATAAAAGCAACAACTCCTCACCAACTTCAGAGATCACGACAGGACAACATCAAAGGGCAAGCACAAATTACTCCTTTTCCCTCAAGTACCTTTCGGCAAAAGGAGTGAGGGACTCCTGATGGAGTATATGGCCCGGGAACCCCCGGCCCACAGACTCCTACTACTCCAGCAAAGGCCCAACAGGCCCAAATCACAGCGCCCAGAGTACCAAGCAGTCCGCACAACGCACAGGGGTGCCTTCGGACCCCTGGCCGAAGGCTCCAAATTGTCACAGAGCGGGTTTCTCAAGCAAATTAGGAAACTGGGAGAAAATGGCGAAAACAGCAGCCCTCGGCACCAGGGTGCCATCGGGCGGGAGAGCCCTCGGTTACTGCTCTATAGCCGAAGGCATCTCACTCGACAAGATATCTGCCTCACATGCGTACAGATCATCGTACCCCGCACAGACATCCCGTCCAACAGCCGCATTAAATGCGGCCACATGCGGCTGCCAGCGCCAACCAGTTGAGGTGACCCCTCGGCCAATGAGCGCTTGACACGTGTCCCTGCCCGGCATTTATTGCTACTATAAATAGCACCCCATTTCCCCATTTGTAACCACGCTGAATACATATCGAATATACACTCTCTCTCTTACTTGTTTGCTCTGACTTCTCTCTAAGTTATTCCCCGTAATAACCCTTCGGATATATACCCCCGGGTAGACTATCCATCACCCTTTATTCCTAAAATAAGACTAATATATGTCCCTTCATCCCATTCTACCCCTTTCTATAATTTCCAATAGATTTATTTTATTAATAAGAAAATCATATTTTTATTTATAATAAAAATATAAAATAATAAAATAGTTATAAATTAATAACAAAAACGTGAAAAAATAAAATAAAAATTAAAAATTAAAAAAATAAACAAAATATTTAAAAAACTTTTAAAAAGTCTAACAAATAAAATTAAATACCTAAAAAATATTTAAAAAATATGTAGGTCACTGTCAACGCGTCCTCTACCTCCCAGCACCACAAACTCCGATCGCCGGGAAAAAATGTCATCTTGTGTAAAAAATGCCACATTTCTCTAAAAATGACATGAAGATGGCATTTTTACTCTTTGAAATATCCAACTTTCTCTTCAAAATTGCTATCATGATGACATTTTTTCCCCAACTTGGCAATCTTTTCCGGCGACCAGAGGTGGCGGTTCTGGAAGGTGGTTGAGGTCTGTATATTTTTTAATTATTTATTACGATTTTTTTGTTTTGATTTTTTATATTTTAATTTATAATGATTGTTTAAAACATCCTATTAGGAAGGACAAAGAAAGGGTAGAATAGGAAGAGTTAGTCCTATTTTGGGAATTTAAACTTTGAAATCCTATTGTTACAATTATCCTATTATTTAATCGTATTTAGGTAAATCTCCCTTTTTTTAATCTGGCCGAGTCATGAATAGACTTGTTCAATTGGCCGGTACATGTTAATTTATTTAGCTATTAATCAGCCATAAAAAGTGGATATATTTAATGCATCCTAGCTTTTTAGCCGTAATATTAAGCGTGTGTTAAATGTGATTAAGTGTGAGTTAAATGTGATGTTATTTATTTCTTTGTTAACCAATGAAAGAGTGACAAATAAGCTATTCATAACTTAGTTCTTTATTATATAAAACAATAGAGATGACAACTCCGGTACCGATTCAAAAAATGGGGTATCGTACTTACCACTCACTTGATTGGTTCAAATCGTTACATCATTTTTAATTTAGATTTAAATAATTCGACTACATCATTCTGATTGATCCATGTGGACAAAGGTATGGTACCTCAAGGGTACCGTAAACTCTACCAACAATAGATGGTAGCGTTGTCTCAACCATAACTGCAACCTCCCTTTAATCTCCAAGAAAAGATTTTGTGTTACTGTTTTGGTACGACGGGAAGGAAATGTAGGAGAAAAGATTAAAAAAACTAAAGAGAAAAAGTTTAATGGGCGATTGAATTGAATTAAGTTGTATACATGAACACAGAATTTATAAAAGGTATGTCACTCAAATCAAATAATACTACCTTTGTCCGGTTGTCCCCTAAAATTATTTGGTACATGGGAGAGATGGTGTCGTGATTAAAAAAATGAGTTTGTAACGGATGGTATTAAATTGACAAAGTAACAATCATTCACATTTCGCAAATATTACTAATTCTAGTAAGAGTTATTCATAGCGAGACAAATCGAAATGAAAAAATGAAACAATCTTAGAGAGATGAGTCAGTAATAATAACAATTGGTTGATGCTTTATTTGTAACTTTGAATTCCCACAACTAATTACAAAAGGAGAATCAGGTAAAACCGTCAA